AAGGCCTTTTTAACGTGGGCGTTTCCCGAGCCATTAGGCTCGGCCAAAAATAGCCCATTTGAACCCGTATAAACGGATTCAGGGCCGGTTTTACCTCCCCAATGAGACTCCGCCCTTCGGCGTAGCCTCCTTCGGGTTCCTCCCGCCCGTAGGAAGAGAGTTGAACCGAACAGTCAGTTCAGAGTTGAACGACTGATGATATTCAGTCACCCCAAAAGGGGTGTCATGTGGCACAAGGCCTTTTTAACGTGGGCATTCCAGAGCCATTAGGCTCGGCCAAAAAAAAATAGCCCATTTGAACCCGTATAAACGGATTCAGGGCCGGTTTAACCTCCCGAAGGAGACTCCGCCCTTCGGCGTAGCCTCCTTCGGGTTCCTCCTCGCCCGTAGGAAGAGAGTTGAACCGAACAGTCAGTTCAGAGGTGAACGACTGATGATATTCAGTCACCCCCCACGAGGGTGTCATGTGGCACAAGGCCTTTTAACGTGGGCATTTCCCAAGCCATTAGGCTCGGCAAAAATAGCCCATTTGAACCCGTATAAACGGGTTCTGGGCCGAGTTTACCTCCCCAAGGAGACTCCGCCCTTCGGCGTAGCCTCCTTCGGGTTCCTCCCTCCCGTAGGAAGAGAGTTGAACCGAACAGTCAGTTCAGAGGTGAACGACTGATAATATTCAGTCACCCCCACGAGGGTGTCATGTGGCACAAGGCCTTTTTAACGTGGGCATTCCCGAACCATTAGGCTCGGCCAAAAATAGCCCATTGAACCCGTATAAACGGGTTCAGGGCCGATTAACCTCCCGAAGGAGACTCCGCCCTTCGGCGTAGCCTCCTTCGGGTTCCTCCCCGTAGGAAGAGAGTTGAACCGAACAGTCAGTTCAGAGGTGAACGACTGATAATATTCAGTCACCCCCCACGAGGGTGTCATGTGGCACAAGGCCTTTTTAACGTGGGCATTCCCGAGCCATTAGGCTCGGCCAAAAAAACCTAGGGGCCATTTGAACCCGTATAAACGGGTTCCTGGGCCGATTTTACCTCCCCTTTTAAGGAGACTCCGCCCTTCGGCGTAGCCTCCCTTCGGGTTCCTCCCGCCCGTAGGAAGAGAGTTGAACCGAACAGTCAGTTCAGAGGTGAACGACTGATAATATTCAGTCACCCCCACGGGGTGTCATGTGGCACAAGGCCTTTTTAACGTGGGCATTCCCGGCCATTCCCCGGCCAAAAAATAGCCATTTGAACCCGTATGAACGGGTTCTGGGCCAGACCCCCACCTCCCCGAAGGAGACTCCGCCCTTCGGCGTAGCCTCCTTCGGTTCCCTCGCCCGTAGGAAGAGAGTTGAACCATGCAGTCAGTTCAGAGGTGAACGACTGATGATATTCAGTCACCCCCACGAGGGTGTCATGTGGCACAAGGCCTTTTTAACGTGGGCATTTCCCGAGCCATTAGGCTCGGCAAAAAATAGCCCATTTGAACCCGTATAAACGGGTTCTGGGGCCGGTTTAACCTCCCCGAAGGAGACTCCGCCCTTCGGCGTAGCCTCCTTCGGGTTCCTCTCGCCCGTAGGAAGAGAGTTGAACCGAACAGTCAGTTCAAGGTGAACGACTGATAATATTCAGTCACCCCCACGAGGGTGTCATGTGGCACAAGGCCTTTTTAACGTGGGAATTCCCAAGCCATTAGGCCCGGCCAAAAATAGCCCATTTGAACCCGTATAAACGGGTTCTGGGCCAATTTACCTCCCGAAGGAGACTCCGCCCTTCGGCGTATCCTCCTTCTGGTTCCTCTCGCCCGTAGGAAGAGAGTTGAACCGAACAGTCAGTTCAGAGGTGAACGACTGATAATATTCAGTCACCCCCCACGAGGGTGTCATGTGGCACAAGGCCTTTTAACGTGGGCATTCCCGGAGCCATTAGGCCCGGCAAAAAATAGCCTCCATTTGAACCCGCATAAACGGGTTCTGGGCCGATAATATCTAGCTGGGCCTTAACCTCCCCGAAGGAGACTCCGCCCTTCGGCGTAGCCTCCTTCGGGTTCCTCCTCCTCGCCCGTAGGAAGAGAGTTGAACCGAACAGTCAGTTCAGAGGTGAACGACTGATAATATTCAGTCACCCCCACGAGGGTGTCATGTGGCACAAAGGCCTTTTAACGTGGGCATTCCCGGCCATTAGGCCCGGCAAAAATAGCCCATTTGAACCCGTATAAACGGGTTCTGGGCCGGGTTAACCTCCCCCGAGGAGACTCCGCCCTTCGGCGTAGCCTCCTTCGGGTTCCTCGCCCACGTAGGAAGAGAGTTGAACCGAACAGTCAGTTCAGAGGTGAACGACTGATAATATTCAACCCCCACGAGGGTGTCATGTGGCACAAGGCCTTTTTAACGTGGGCATTCCCAAGCCATTAGGCCCGGCCAAAAAATAGCCCATTTGAACCCGTATAAACGGGTCCTGGGCCGAGTTTAACCTCCCGAAGGAGACTCCGCCCTTCGGCGTAGCCTCCTTCGGGTTCCTCTCGCCCGTAGGAAGAGAGTTGAACCGAACAGTCAGTTCAGAGGTGAACGACTGATGATATTCAGTCACCCCCCACGAGGGTGTCATGTGGCACAAAGGCCTTTTAACGTGGGCATTCCCGAGCCATTAGGCTCGGCCAAAACAGCCCATTTGAACCCGTATAAACGGGTTCTGGGCCGGTTTAACCTCCCGAAGGAGACTCCGCCCTTCGGCGTAGCCTCCTTCGGGTTCCTCTCGCCCGTAGGAAGAGAGTTGAACCAACAGTCAGTTCAGAGGTGAACGACTGATGATATTCAGTCACCCCCCCACGAGGGTGTCATGTGGCACAAAGGCCTTTTTAACGTGGGCATTCCCGAGCCATCAGGCTCGGCCAAAAAATAGCCCATTTGAACCCGTATAAACGGGTTCTGGGCCGGTTTTACCTCCCGAAGGAGACTCCGCCCTTCGGCGTAGCCTCCTTCAGGTTCCTCTCGCCCGTAGGAAGAGAGTTGAACCGTGCAGTCAGTTCAAAGGTGAACGACTGATAATATTCAGTCACCCCCACGAGGGTGTCATGCGGCACAAGGCCTTTTTAACGTGGGCATTCCCGAGCCATTAGGCCCGGCAAAAATAGCCCATTTGAACCCGTATAAACGGATTCAGGGCCGGTTTAACCTCCCGAAGGAGACTCCGCCCTTCGGCGTAGCCTCCTTCGGGTTCCTCGCCCGTAGGAAGAGAGTTGAACCGAACAGTCAGTTCAGAGGTGAACGACTGATAATATTCAGTCACCCCCACGAGGGTGTCATGTGGCACAAAGGCCTTTTAACGTGGGAATTCCCAAGCCATTAGGCCCGGCCAAAAATAGCCCATTTGAACCCGTATAAACGGGTTCTGGGCCCAGTAACCTCCCGAAGGGAGACTCCGCCCTTCGGCGTAGCCTCCTTCGGGTTCCTCCGCCCGTAGGAAGAGAGTTGAACCGTGCAGTCAGTTCAGAGGTGAACGACTGATTCACTGCCTACTCCTGAGGCGCAGTATTTATTAAGCATGGAATAGCCCATTATTATTATTATTATGGGTAAGATCCCATAACACGATCCATCGTTAAAGATGTTGAAAAAGTGGTCAGTTTCTTGTATCGCCCCAGGAAGTACCTGACTTTTCGTACTATGCTCTATCTTTACAAGAACCAGATCAAACCGAAAATGGTGTACTGCTGCTATATCCCAGTCCTCACTTTCCACAATGATGAGTATGACGATAAACTACATCCGGCAGCAAGGCCTCTGATCGGAAGAGTAGAGGTTTTAAGGAGCGTGCAACTACCTCTTAGATGCTTTTGTTCCACCCTTATCCGGTGTGGTAGCACCTATTAGGGTCCAAGCTATGGGCAAATAGTGAACATTATTAAAGTATGAAAATACATTTTTATATTAAAAATACCAACAATACCTTTTTATAGTAAAATTACCAACAATACTCAATCAAAATAAAAAAAAACCCTTAAAGAAATCAGTTTGTAATCCAAAATATAACTTCAAGAAAATTATAACATAAAAACACGCGTATCACTGCCTTTAGTAATTATGTTCACACAAACATATCTTTGCACAAAAGCTGAGTATCAACTAACATGTATTCAATTGTGAAAGCAGATTAACATATATTTATTACTTCAAAGCTCCCAAGAAAATTAAATTTTGGCATTAAATGATCCATGGTTAGTTGATATATCGTTAAACAAACAAATCAAATCAAATCCTCACTTTCCAAAATCATCTACGCAGTTTTTATTGGCGATACATTATTTTCCACTCCGCAACCAATTAGCAACAGACGAAACGTCGCAAGCATCTCGCTTTTTTACCGCCATTTCCAGGGCATACGCTCTTGCGAACTCCATTCCTTATTACCACCAATTCTGATCTTCAGAGTTAAGAGCCAGCACACCACGTACACTGGGATGAATTATACACATTAACTTCGTGTTGCATTAGTAAGAATTAAATTCCGTTCAGACAATCCCAACAACCGCTGCTTTGTAGAAGAGACTCCTGTCAGGGCGCATCTCATATCGTTACAATCGTGCAAATACAAAAATATGGCACATGGCCAAAAAGGAATGAGGAGGAAAGGGTGGCTTTCAATCTGTCTTATCGTAAACTTAACTAACCACAATTAATGACCCAAAAATACCACAGTATTCCTGACAACAAAACAACACATTCTTCCTTACTATTCTTACTACACTCACCATAATACCTCAAAGTCTCTATGAAGTACTAACCAGTTCCCATATGTCCTTGAAAAAAAGATAAGAAAAACAACAACAACAACAAAATGAGAGAAGAATATGTTGGAAGCGGAGAAGAAAGGGAAGTGAAAGTGAAGGCAGAGGATGAGAATAAGTAAATAAGAATTCGCAGTGGAGGTGGAGAAGGAAAAAAGAAAAGACAAAAAAATAAAAATATAGGTGGGGCGAGAAATAAGAGGAGGAAAATGAGGATTGAGAATGGGGACGAAAAGAAGAGAGAAAAGAAGAAGAAACAGCGAAAGTAGTGGAAGAAGAGAGAGAGAGAGAGTGGAGTGAGTTGGAAAAGAAAAAGAAATGAAGAAGAAAAGGTTGATAGAAGTGGGGAGAAAGAAAAGCGAGAATACGATAGAAAGAAGAAGAAGAAGAAGAAGAAGAAGCGCGAATAAAGGAAGAAAAATTAAGAAGAATACGATAGAAAGAACAAGTAGTAGTAAAAGAAGAAGAAGAAGTGAGAAGAAAAGAAGAAACGTGATAAGACGATAGAAAGAAGAAGAATCGAGAAGAAAACTTAAAAGAAAAGCAAGAAGGATAGAAAGAATATGTAGAAGAAGAAGAAGAAGAAGAAGCGAGAAGAAAAGGAGAAAAGAAAAGCGAGAAGACGATAGAAAGAAGAAGAAGAAAAAGAAGAAATGATGATGATGAAGAAGAAGAAACGAAAAAAAAAAGGCTAGAAAGAATATGAACAAGAAGAAGAAAAAGAAGAAAGAAATAAAGAAGAAAAGAAAAACGAGATGGAAAGAAGAAGAAGAAGAAGAAGAAGAAGAAGAAGAAGAAGAAGAAGAAGCGGGTAGAAAAAGGAAAAGCGAGAGGGATAGAAAGAACATGTATAAGAAGAAGAAAAAAAAAAAAAGAAAAGCGAGAAGACGCTAGAGAGAAGAAAATGAAGAAGCGAGAAGAAAAAGAAAAGGGAGTAGGATAGAAAGAATATGTAGAAGAAAAAGAAGACAAAAGAAAAACGAGAAGAAGAAGAAAACAAAAGAAAAACGAGAAGAAGAAGAAGAAGAAGAAGAAGAAGAAGAAGAAGAAGATTGAGAAAAAATATTGACAGGGGAAGGGAGATCGGTATAAGAAAATGGTGATGAAAACAAAGAATAAAGTGGAAGAAGTGAAAAGAAGTGGAACAAATGAAAGAGACGAAGTGGAAAGTAAAGAAATATAAGATTAATAATAATAATAATAAAAATAATAATAATAATAAAAATAATAATAATAAAGATTAAGATGTGAGAGGAGGAGGTGGGAGGAATAGGGACAGCAGAGCGAACACTAACAGTGACATAAATAAGAATAAATAAAAAAGAAAAAAAAAAGAAGCAATAATAGATGCAAAGAAAAGCTTTGTCAACAAATTCGTCATTCTTTTCGTGATATTGTAATAGTAGTTCATTGTTGTTTATGGTACAACAAAGCAGCCTGCCTATTTTTTTCCCTTGTGTAACTGAAAACAGAGTAATTCTCATCAAATAACAACGAGCTGTTCTGAAAGAAGGCTGTGTCATCATCAGGTGGCAATAACGGGAGCCAGTGAGTGTATGAGAAATGGAAACTTATCTCAAGCGACGAACAAGTAGATATAATTTGAAAATATATGCTATACATACAGATTAAATAACAATCCACGCTGGTCTAACCCCCAACTCTATTGGATTTATACCCAATATAGAAGCCTTTGTGGGTTAATTAGTAAGCAACTATTTCAAATATTAAGTCTATTTTTGTTAGTACACCTTCTTCTACGTGGCGTGTAACTTCAGAGGGTGGGAGATCATAGCTCTCCACCATTTCGTGTCCTTTATAGTTCGTAGTAATTTCTCCCCTCTCTCTCTCTCTCTTCATATATATATATATATATATATATATATATGAAGTCCTAAAGGACGAAACGCGTCACAAGAAAAAACTTTTACACTTTTTCATACATTTCCCCAATATTGTTCTTCGTATATAAAATACATATCCGCTCATATATATATATATATATATATATATATATATATATATATATATATATATATATATGTATGTGTGTGTGTGTGTGTGTGTGTGAGAGATATGTGTGTGTGCGCTACTCCAAGCGTTATTTTTAGCGGTTGCTCGTATTTGAGTAGACGTTCCGGCCTACACAAGCGAGAAAAACCGATTAAATAAAATGTTCCCTGCTTCAGGATTCGAACCTGCGTCCTTCTTTGCAGGCGAATCTACCGTCTGATCCAAAAAAAAGTGACAAATCCTTGTTCTTTTTTTTAATTTAATGATTGGTATCAAGGAGACTATCATAATATTATGAACGTTTTGTCTCTCCTATCGACCTCATACGACTTAATAATATTTATTAATTTGCATTCCAAGTGGCTTGGTTGCATCTCCTACTAACGTTTGTTGTTTCTTATTCTTAGGGACTGGATCTCCTTGTCGCTGAAAATGACGAACCTCCGTCAAACTGATTTAAGATGTGACCGTGACAATGACAATACCAACTTCTTCTTCTTCTTCTTCTTCTTCTTCTTCTTCTTGTTGCTGCTGTTGTTGTTGTTGTTGTTGTTGTTGTTGTTGCTGCTGCTGCTGCTGCTGATGTTGTTGCTATTTTTCTCATTAGACTCACCTGTGGAGGAGCATGAGGCCACGTGGAGTTGCCAGGCCCACGATTAATCGTTATTGAATTCAACTGTATTCTTCTTTTAGACCGGTTGCCAATCAAAGCTAGAGAGCATAGTCTGTCTTGTTATTTAACCCATAGCTAGGGGAAAAGGTAGATTCAAGGGTATTTATGCGAAAGTGAACGCGACGAATTCAGCCCGAGCTTGCACTTGCCACCCTGATTCCATTATCTGAACTGATAACAGCTATTACCCATTACATCACGCGCATGTCCAAACTTACAATCTCTGGTATTCCCAAACGAACTGGGCTCGGTGTTGCTTAACTTTGATGATCGTACGAGAACTGATGTTTCAACGTGATGTGACTGCAAGCCGCCCGTTGCATTAATATGGGCTACAATAAATATCCAGTTCTGTAGGACAGATTTGCACGCCGGTTGCCCGACTTTAATCTGTGGGCTTGTCATCTAGAATCTGACGCAGTGGATATTTCTGTTCGGGAGCGAAGATAATGGATGATGAAAAGGGTTGCTTTTTTTAAAAGTTTGAATGATGTGATAGAAAAGGTGACTTGGGAGTCGAATCTAAATAATTGGGAACACTCTTTACCGGGAGACTGATGTATTTAATCTCGAAATATCTAACAGGTCCCCACAGGAAACGTTTTACGTATGCTACTTTTATTGATACCTGTCACTGTGAATCGCGCACATGTACCTGGTATACTCTTACCAGACAAGTTGTCATTTTCAGACTGGGCGCAAAAGATTTCGCGATATTCAGGCCGGTAGACGAAAATAAATAAATATACCGTTTAATAAATAAACGGAGCGCCTACTCAAATGTGAGGACGCACTAAAAATAATGATAAAATTGTCAATATATATATATATATATATATATATATATATATATATATATATATAGATAGATAGATAGATAGATAGATATGTATATATAAATGGACAAAGTCGGGCAATTATTTTAAGACATTTTTTTTATGTAATACGTTCTTTTTATCCGACATAGGATACAGGTTCAGGACGCATATTTTCTATGAAAATATCTCGGACATTCAGGCCGATAAATGTTATTAATACTGTTTATTATAAAACAGAGCATTTACTTAAATATTTGTATCTATAAAATGAACGTATAAACATAAAAAATGTTTTACATATATATATATATATATATATATATATATAGAGAGAGAGAGAGAGAGAGAGAGAGATAATCATTTCACGTCAAGCAAACCGATAATGCCATCAAGACGTAAGGGGCTACTCGGAGTGAAAGAGAATAAGATTTTAGTATAACAAACCGCGAATTTAGTCCTAAACTGGAAACAAGACATAAACCTCTACTCCTGTTCAAAAGACAGATTGAGTTTCGTATATTTGCACCCTTTGTTCACTTTGTTGGTGTACTTTTTTCTTTTCTTCTTCTTTTTTTTTTCATTCAATAACGATAATAATAATAAACTAGTCGAATATAAAGATCTAGAAACAGAAATTGAAAGAATGTTGGACATATACATACATACATATTTTCTTTTCAACACCATCACTTGATAAGACACAGAGTGTGTTGAAACAAAATGGCTATTTTTGTAGTGATTTTATAACATACTTATGTTATAAATTTTTTTATAAAAATAATTATATATATATATATATATATATATATATATATATATATATATATATATGTATGTATGTATGTATGTATGTATGTATGTATATGACAATACTAATGTTAATAGGTGTTCTCGGTCTGGTCAAGAAAGGGATGAGGAAAAAAACCTCAAAAAAAAAGGTCTAGATGCAAGAAGTGAAGAAGATCGTCCTCCTCGGCACTGCTCATATATTATATAATCCCATCACACCCTCAAGTCCAAGGGATAGACTTATCTTTATGAACAAACTATTGCTAATAATAATATTGAACAAAGACCTAGCAGGGAAAACTAGAGAAATATAGCAAGCAAAAGCACGTTTCCTTTACGATTGGTGCACACGAGACTATTTCCAGAAACCTATCCACTTCGTAGGACCCCTTAGGGATATGTGACAACATTGGGAGTGCGCAGATGACAGCACTATTTAGAACAGCTCATGTATCTAAACTGGGGTAGGAGCTGAGATATGACATTCATCACCCGCCGGAAACATCTTATTGTCGAAGAGGATATCAAATAATAATAATAAGTATATGTTTATTGATATAGCAGTACCATAGATATTTGTGGATCTCTCTCGCTCGCTCTCTCTCTCTCACTCTCTCTCTCTCTCTCTCTCTCTCTATATATATATATATATATATATATATATATATAATTATTTATTCGAACATTATAACATAAATATGTTATAAAATCACTACAAAATAACCATTTTGTTTCAACGTTCAATTGTCTTATCAAGTGATGGTGTTGAATATAGAATCCTTAAATTAAGCTAGTTGTGTGAATAACCTAGAGAAAATAATTAATTAAGGATTCTATATTCAACACCATCACTTGATAAGACACCAGAAATGTTGAAGCAAAATGACTATTTTTGTAGTGATTTTATAACATATTTATGCAATAATTTTCGAATAATTATATTTGCTCTACTCTGTATTAGGCACTCTTTTAAGAATAGTATTTGTTGGTTATTGAATTTATTCCGTATACACCAATGCTATATATATATATATATATATATATATATATATATATATATATATATATATATATATATATATATATATATATGGCTTATCCATGGACAAATCCTTACAGATACGCATATACATATATAAATTCTGATATCTTTATTTCCAAATACATATTTCTTTTGCTAAATTCTCATTACGCAATATACCCTTCTTATAAACGATAAACGTGTTTCTTCGGGAATTTCTTCTTTTTTTTTTCTTTATCTCATTATCTCAAAAACAAATCTTGTTTCACATTTTCAATGTTTTTTTTTACCAGTTTTTATTTGTCTGCAGAACTGTGTCAAGAACTTTACTTTTGTCGCCACACAAAGTACGAAAGAAAACAAAGACCGTTCGCAAGGTTCTTTTTAGATTGTCTCGGTCATGTCCCTTTGGAAAAAGATAATGTTTACCTCGCAGCTCATTCCAGTTAACACCCTGTGTCAAGCCAAAAGCAACGTAAGGACATGAAAACATAATGCAAGAATAATATTAAATAAATCTTAGATTTCCATCCAGCTGGTCGCGTTGAATTTAAAGAATAACAGGGGTGTGGGAAGCCATAGTTTAATCTTACGTTTATCATTTAAAGAAAAAAAATCTTTCTTTTTTCGCTAACAGTGAGTCCTTTCAAAATAACGTATTGTTTCGTCGGCCTGTTTATATGTCCTATTTGCGTTTCGATGTCGTTTTGAAGAATTGCAATTCTCAATATCAATGTACTAACAAAACATTTTCAAAAGTAATAAAACTTTTCCGTGGTTAAAACAGTAGTCTGCTTAATTAACATACAAGAAACTAATATTAACATGAATAATCAAGTCAAGGAATGTATCATTAGGAAAAAAAAAGTCTCAGATATTGATGTTTTCTGGTCAGTGTCTTTGCTTTTTATATAGATCACGTGGCTATGTTTCAAGCGAAAGTCTTTTTTAAGCATTATTATTGTAGTTTTCCCGGGAGACTGACTGACTGCAAGTCTGTGAAATAAAACAGAACTCTCCTGAGTATTCTATATATTTTTAGTAATTCTGTCATTTTGAGCGTTCCTCGGAGTTTTAATTGAACCAATTTCGAGAGGTTTTGGATTGTTCAAATCAAAACTACAATAGGGAATAAAACTATCAAGCTCTACATTTTTCATTTCTAGCAATTTCCAAATATACCAGACTTTCATGCTTTTTAATGGTATTTTTCTGGATTATTATTATTATTATTATTGTTTGTGTGTTATATTTCCTGCTTTGTATCCTGTAGAGTCGGGTCCAAACTATGGTCCTTAGGCCCTATAGG